TCCAAAAATGGTTGCAGAAGTACATCAATAGGGAACTGCCAAAAACGCAACCAAGATGCAGAAAAGGACATAGTATGAGGGATATCACTGCTGATGTCTGGTGGATCTTGGGTGAAAGCAAAGAACACCAACCAGTAAGATGTGTTCTAGTGACTTTGCAAAGGCATTCAACTGTGTGGATCATAACAAATTATTATAATGTTGCAAAGAACAGGAATTCTAGAACACTTAATTATGCTCATGCTGAATCTGTACATTTGCCAAGAGTCAAACAGAACAAGGAAATACTGTCAGCAGTATCAGGAAAGGTATGTATCAGGGTTGTATCCTTTCACCACACTTATTCAATCTGTATGTTGCACAAATAATCTAAGAAGATGGACTATATGAAGAACAAAACATCAGGATTAAAGGAAAACAAATGACACAACCTTGCATGCTAAAAGTGAAGAGGACTTGAAGTACTTACTGATGAAGGTCACAAGACTACAGCCTTCAGTTGGATTACATCTCAACATAAAGGAAACAAAAATTCTCACAACTGACTAGACCAATAAGCAACATTATGATAAATGGAGAAAAGACTGAAGATGTCAAGGATTTCATTTTACTTGGATCCACAATCAACAACCATGGAAGCAGCAGTCAAGAAATTAAATGATGTACTATTGCATTGGGCAAACATGCTACAAAAGACCTCTTGAAAGTGTTAAGGACCAAAGAGTCACATTGAGGACTAAGGTGCACCTGAACCCACATGCCACGGTATTTTCAATAGCCTCATACACATGTGAGAGCTGGACAATAAATAAGGAACACCAAAGAAGAATTGCTGGCTTTGAATTACGTGTTAGCAAAGAACACTGAATATACCACAGACCACCAAATGTCTTAGAATAAGTACAGCCAGTATGCTCCTTATAAGGGAGGATGGCAAGATTTCCTCTCACATACTTTGGTCATGTTATCAGGAGGGACCAATCCCTGGAGAAGGACATCATGCTGGCTAAAGTAGAGGGTCCACGAAAAAGAGGAAGCCCCTCGTCAAGATGGACAGACACAGTGCCTACAACAATGGACTCAAACAAAGCAATTATCGTAAGGATGGCGCAGGACCTGCCAGTGTTTCATTCTGTTATACAACTGAATCACTATGAGTCAGAAGCGACTATCTGCACCTAACAACCACCCCCAGTTTCTTCAGTCTGGGATGGGGCCTGTAATTTTGCACTTCTAACAAGTTACCAGGAGATGCTGATGAAACTGGTCCAGGGACCACTTTGAGAAACATGGCTTTATCTGATTCTCAAAATCGATGAGATAAGGTAGAAACGGTATTTTTTTTTTTTTTTT